TCAACCCCCTTTTTCTAATAACTGCAAGGCCGATTTGCAGGAGAGTTTTGACTTGGGGTTGGTTGTCCATCAGCCAGTTGCGCTCTGTCGCGAGTTCTCCGGGCTTTTTCGCCAGGCGCCAGCAACCAGGTGGGGGGGGGGGAGTTTGGCTTTCTGGGTGACCGATCTGGTTTCTTGGGCTGGTGGGGTTGGGCCCTGAAGAGAAACCCAAAGGCCGCTGTTTAAGCAGTTATTGCTGAAACCAAGCATGGGGTGGCCCAACTGCAGTTGGCAGCCTGGCCTTAAATGGCACAACAGGTCTCCAATCAAATGCCCATCGACGATGTGCTGCTTCTGAGAGACGTGGCCAAGTTCAAAGTGCTCACTCTGGACTTTGCTTGGTTTATGCGCTTGATGTATTGGCACACCTGGGCGAGGTAACCATTTCCCCTTTGCCTCGGGTGGGATTTGTGCGTAGGTTGTTTGGGCGAAATCTTGCCAGTGGCACGTGACCCTCAGGCCTGCTAGATTAAGTATGGCAGCTTTTTGCTGGAAAAGGACGCTCTTCAACGAAACTATGTCGGAGACTGCTCCCCCCTGAAAATAGCCTCACTCCAAACACACGACCCAGTTTTCGAGCTTGTATTTGTTACTTGTTGTTTGATGGTGGCTGGCACACAAAGACGTTCAAAACTTCACAGCATGCGCGCAATGCGACCCCAAGGGGATGGAATTGCAGGCTCTCCCAGCTGCTCGGGCTTTAGCCCTGGGCCCCTCGATCTGCCAAGTGCAGCGCCGCCCCTGGGGGGCGGGGGAATCGGCGGAAGTGGGTGAGCCTTTGTTTGGTTGGCTCGTTCTTGTGGGTTTGCTCGAGACCCTGAAGGTGGTTGCATGTTGAGGGGGTCTCAATATGACTTGTGGATGGCTCCCCTTCAAGCCACAGCCTCGTTTGGATCCCGGTCGCTTGGATCTATTGGCCATGGGGCCCTTTGGGGCACGATTTCATTGGGCCCCCAATAGAATTCCTGCTGGAGGCGGCGCTTGCGTATCGGAGCAAGTTGGAAGGCGAGCATGTTGTTTTTTTGTTTTCGCCCTGTCGGGCTTGTTGAAATAATAAACTGTGGAAACCACATGTTTCAGCAATTGTTTTTCCTCCCCAGCACCCAACTCTCAGGACTTCTCACGATGTACCACTGCTTTTGGCACCTCGCAGTTTTGTCATTGCAGGATGAACCTGGCCCGCGCGCCCCATTTCCAGAAGGGTTCAGTGCCGTTATTGGTGCCACATGTTTTGTGCTACGTGGCAACAGCCGATTTTAACTCCACCCACCGGCGGTTGGGACCCTCGGCATCTCACGTCCCCGCTGGGTTGCTGCATTGAGCCGCCAAGAAAACCTGCCGCAGTCTACATGCACTGAAAGACCCACTTGCCCAACAGACCTGGTCAAACCTCAACTTTCTTTGAGACAGGAAATTGAATCACGGAAGTCAAGGTTCCAAGCTGGGGAAGCCCCAAGAGGCCGATGGAGCCTCAGAACGCCGAGTGAAACCCACATTTGGTATGGGGGATTTTCCATTCGGAATTTGTTTGGCTCCCACGGATTCCGCTTGCAAAAAAGGGGGAGGCTTCCGGCAACCTGTGACGACTAGCCTGCCGCACAAGTCAAATCTCGCCATGTTTTGGAGAACACGGCGCAGTTCCTTTGGCCATGCAAAACCTGTTTGCCATCACTATGTCTTCATACCAAGCTTCGAAACTCTCACTGGACTTCGGAGAAGCTGGACTGAGCAACACTCAGCAACACTAGAGGCCATGCTTCGGCCGACCACGGCCAAGGCTCACAGGAGAGCTTCTAACTAGAATTCCGGGGTAGACAGGCGTTGAAAGAGAGCGCAGGAGGAACTGCCTGTTCGGACAAAGAGCTTCGACTTGACTCTTGACATGTGTTGCGTTGTCCCCATTACATTGAGGCCCATTTTCTAAACCCGTGTCTTGGTGGGAGCTAGGGATGGTACCTTTTTGCGTTTGAGGGTGTGGTCGCTTGTTTCGGCCTAACCCACCACCAGAACCACCACCACCTTCAGCACCAGCACTAGCACCAGCACTAGCACCAGCACCAGCACCACCACAACCAACACCGCAACCGCAACCGCACCCGGCAATCGGCACCAGCAACAACAGCAACATCCCCGCTCCAATTTTGGAGCCCTTCTGGCGGGTTCAGTTCTTGGTCCGATAAGATGGTGTGAAGTCCGCGCCATGGCGGCCAACCGGCGGGTGATAGTCGCCAGGCCAGAGCCCGCAGAAACATTTAGGTTCAAACGAAATCCTAGAGCAGGGCATGCCAGACTCACGTAATGAGTGTTTATGTCTTTTGCAGTTGGGTCATGAATAGTTGACGTCAAACAGGTTCGCCCCATCGGACATATTGGTTGCTTACGTTGGAGCGTGATGAGGCAGACATGACCACCCCCCAAATCGAAAAGACGTGCTAGGAGACTTGCCTATTCAAACGAGGGCCCCTGTGTAACAACCCCTGCAACGCCCTTCTCAACGGGTGTCTCAATGCATGCCTAGCTGTCTCGCACTTGCCCCCCTCGCAATCCCTCGCAAACCGGCCCAAGTCAAGGGCAAGACCTGTGGATTGACTTCAGGAAGCATAGTTCCAGCCAGCCTTGGGCCTTGGGCCTAGAACGTGAAATCCAATGTGTCCAAACCAGTGGCTCCAAGTTCATGTATTCGGAGAAATGATGAACGTATACCAAACAAAATGACATGTGCCGATACCTTGGGGGTGCAAGGACCGTTACACCATGCTGGAGCCCGAGACTGCGAGACTGCGGTAGCCCTCCCGGTTCCAGGATGGTGTCAAGCCCTGAAAGTAGTGGTTTGGGGGTAGTGAAAGCCATCTTCGACAGGGTGGGAAGGTGGGTGAACCGCAAGAGTTGTGAACAAATGTGCGTCATGTTTCCCGCGTGTCCTTAGCGCCCAGCCTGGAACTGAGTGGCCAGGATCTTCGCTGCGCTGTCTCTTCTGGTGCTGCCGAGGCAGGTCTTTGCATTTCCCTTCGCGCAGGGTCTGGAAAAAAACATATCACCATAGGACAAAATTGAAGTGCCTGCCTTGATCACAGGCCAATTTTGGGGGCCATAGCCGGCGGAGCCATTGCAGCCTAGTGACTATTACCGGAATCTGCTGGCCAGTGACTCGCCAAAGAGGGCCACCATATCAAGCCCAGTCGAGCTCGAACAGAAGAATTCGGGGCGTGCCTTAATTGTTGCAGTGGAATTACAGTTTGTTGCAATCAGTTGCATCGACTCTAAGTGAGCCACAATCAAAACCCGGGTAGATGAAGGTTAGTAAGGGACGACCCCAACCATAAATAGCTGCGGCAGCCTTCTTAGTTCTTTGCATGGTTCTAGGTGCACCAGTTTTGTACCGGGTTTCGATTATGACTCAAGTGGCCTGGGGGAGCACCCCGCCAACTTGCACTTTCCAAGTAACTCAAACTCTCATTTGCCCAATGGTGATTGATCACCTTCGTTCGACATCTGCGGCGCACACGAATATCTAAGCCATTTTCTAAAGAATGGAAAGGCCGGGGCGTAAGGAACGAACAAACGGCCAAGTTTCGTAAGAACATGGTGCCAGCGGATGGGTTCTTCGAACCAATTCCCATCTCAGGCACAGCAGATTGCATAAAACTATAAATGCCCATGGGTCGTGGTGCTCAGGCTGTCTGGGCTTAACCGCCGAGTTTACCTTGCTTATTTATTTGGGTTTGCACATTCCGCCAGTACAAGCAAGCGCAAAGTCGGCCCATTGGACGCAGAGACGCGCCCTGCGCAGGTGCTTTTCAGGCTCGGGGGCGGGCAGGGTCCGTCCTTTTTTACCTTTTGATTCAATCAGGGAGTATGGTGAGGCAAAGGGCAAGTCATTTTCTATTGGGCCCGCGGATGCTGCACTCCCCTTTTGAGACCTCAGTTCTTGGGCCGCCTTTCAAGGTCCAACATTCAGTCCAAGATGTTGGCAAACGCCGTTTCGTTTGGGGCCTCTTCCCAGATTCGTTGTTTCATGGCCCCAACTGATTTGTTCCAATCTCTAAGGCCGTTGGGCAAGTGAGCTTAGCCGGACCCCACTTGAAACCGCTTATCTTCGGAGTTGGTTTCCAGCGTTGATATTCCCCAGTGTGCGTCTTTGACTCTGTGCGTGTGTGGTTATATTTGGTGGGCAGCTTCATCAGACGTCTCGTCGCCCCCTTACCCAATTTGCCTGCGGTGATGATTCACTTCTTGGCCCTTTGATTCACAAAAAGCTTGGGGGTGCCGGTGGCAGGGGTTGACCCAATGCTGACTTGCAGCTGGATATCCACAGCCATTGAGCGCCTCGCGCTTGCCGGCTCGACTTGGGCGCTACGGAAGCGAAGCGCTTGTCCAAGCGGGCGGGACAAAACACATATGCAGCAAAAGCCATAGAATATGTGCCGCGTACAGCATGCGGAATCGGAAAGTCAATATTTCGCGAGATGGCTGGAGAAGCAGAACACAGAAGCTTTGTGCTCGCGGATTGACCGGCGCGCGCGCATTCATTCCACACGGAGTTTCCCCAGCTTTAGCTCCAATCCAAGCTCAAGTGTTGTCTGCGAGATCTGAACGAAAGGTTCTAGGCCCCCGGGGCTCGGAGGGAGCCAGCGCGACTCGAATGCAGTTTGGCTAAAAAAAAGAAGCGGCGCTGGCTTGAGTTTGGTTCTGTCAGACCGAGGCACCCATGCCTCAAACAGCCTTGGTCGCTGGTGGGGAGCCGGGCCGAAGACTGGTACTGGTAAACATGGCAACGGCAAGAGCATGGGCAAAGTATTTGTTGCCGTGGAGGTGTTGCTTTCTAACTTTCGATTTCCCCTAGAACTGTTCTATGACCTAAGATTCCTTTCCGGCATGGAGTTTCCCTAGAATCCAGCCAGAGAGGACAGCAATCCGGGTTTGGCTGAAGCCTTCGGCTCCCGAAATAACGCCCTGCCGCCATGACGGCGTTCGCGCTGGCGGCCTTCAGCGCAGTGCTGGGCGTGGTGCTGCGGCAGCAGTGGGCGCTGCCCGCGGTGAGGCCCTGGCCCATGACGTCGAAGCTCGGGGAAACCTGTGGGCCGGGGGTGCTTTGCTTGAGACCATGTTGTAAAAGCCATAGCTCGGCTTTTTTTTGGGCTTCCCCACCTTGGGAATCATGAAGGCCCTTACGCGGGGATTCGCCTCTTAGGTTGATTGACGGCAAAAAGTACACTCCAGCAATATGAGTGCTCTTGCGCGGCCGCCAGCTCCAAAGCTGTAGAAATGGCGCAGCATGAGGCCTGCAGCTTCCTTTGGTTGGCACGAAGCTAGCAGCGAGATTGGTGGGCTGGGCAAGTGAGATGAAGTTTTAGCCACACGGCCCAACCTAAGCCAGGCGCCAACCTGAAATATTCGACGGTTTTGCTAGATTGGAGGTCCTTGTGGTCCTTGCCCCCGGCCCATGTCCACGCAACTCGACCAAAACATTTGGTGTTTATCCTGCGTGAGTCCATGGTTTGTAGAACCCACCGGATTGGAAGATCCTTAGCAAATGCTGATGTTGTTCCAAGAGATGTTAGCATTTTCGTTCCATGGCGAAAACAGCGTGCCTCAAGCTGCCCTGAAAGCATGTTGGGCCACTCTGACAGCCTTGATCTGGGCAAATCATGGCGAGCTCCAGCAGTTTGGGGGATAGGACCCATGAAGTTTCCTGATTTGAAGCTTCTGTGGGGCTGACTGAGGACATCCAGATGTGAACCCCTGTCGGTGTTCGCCTTTTGTTGGCTGGCTCATTCCAACAACCTTGCACGATGCACACCCCACCTACGTCCGCCAGTGGTGCCCTTTTACCCTTTTTTGGGGAGAGGGTTCCCCTATATACTGAAATAAACAGCAGAAAATTCCAACCTCTCTACTAAAACCTAGTTCAAGTTCGTTTGCAATGGCCACGCCTCTCGTATCTTTCGCAAGGTTCCTTTCCGTTGGAGCGCGCAAGGCCCGCCTCGGACCCCGGCTTCAGCGCGGAAAGGACCCGAGAGGTGCTGGAAGCTCTGACCAGCTGCGGGGCCAAGTATGTGGGCTCCACAGCCGCGCGGACTGAGAAACGGTGCTGGGAACGTTGGTGGATGAATAGGGGGGTGTCACCAACCGTTTAGTGTCATCACTTTTGGGGGAGACACCCCCCCAAAGAAAAGGGAGGGTTTATTTGGTTGGTTGGTTGGTTGGTTGGTTGGCTGGTTGGTGGCTCAATAATCCATCGTCTACTGGCCTGGTGCAGCCCAAAGATACTTCCCAGAGAGTCCCGCATGGACCGCCTTAGGCATTCAGCCCTTCTAAGTCAATGATTTCTACAGCCTTGACCAATGTTGAGTTGACAGGTCTGAACGAGTTTTGCGCACAAGCCCCGCTCGCATGGGAATCCCCTTTACGTGGGCAAAGCCTTTACCGCATGCTCAGGCCAATGAGGTTTGCGCGGTGCAAGCGCTGATGAAGGAAATCCAGAAGCTGCCGTCGGGCGCGGCACTCGAACTGCAGTCTGCCTCCGGCCATTACTACCTGGATTTCATTGGCGGCCTTACGATCACTTACAGGCGTCTCGGAGCCAACCCTGAACAAGTTGCTAGAGAGAATGCCGATGCCGATTTCACTTTCCAAGCCTAGGCAACAGTTGCAATTACAGGTAATTCAACCAGCCAACCTCCACACCTCCTGCTCGACGGCAAGGGGATTTATCAAGCATTGATCTGGCTGCTGGCAGTTGTTAAGACCCTAGCTGTTGCCCCCATCATGTTGAAATACAACTTCTCTTGAACACCTCTTGCTTCCTGGCACATATTTGGCAGCTGCCTTCTCTTCCAACAACGGCCATAAACAGCATCAAGTCTTGGTGAACCGTCCCTGGCATTTTGTACGGTGGCCCAGCTAGCCTGCAAGACAAGCAAAACCACCTTGCTGAAAAAATCGTGACAGAGGCCCGGGCAAGTATACAAGCCTTGTCTTTTTTTGCAGTTGTCCGCTCTTTTGTGCTGTGGCGCGCTGCAAACGAAGAATGAACAAGAAACAGGTTCACTATCGTGCCATCAGATTGGGAGTAAATGTTGACGGGAAACCTTTAGTTGCTGAGTATCCCATGTTTGTAAACAAATACAGATTTCCGGAAAAGGACCCCCACAGGGCAGCGGTATTTTGAGTTTTCCAAACCGCAGCCATGGTTTCTTTCCACTTGGTCACTTCAAATCCTGATACGGTCGGGTCTTCTTTTGCCTCCGCTCCCAGGAACCTCACCAACCTCTTGGTCCGCGTGCCGTCGACTCCGCGGACTCCGCCGACTCCGACTCCGCGCTGCGCTCTGCTCATCTCCTCGCACTTCGACTCGGCCTTGGGCTCGGTGGCGGCCTCGGACGCCAACGCAGAGGCGAGGCGTGGCGCGGTGGGGCGTTGGTTTTGGAGGGTGCCCGGTTTGGGCGACTTTTTGGCGCTTCTTGGGCTGGTGGAAAGGGAAAGCAACAGTAAACCCATCGATTTCGGGGTACCGCGGTTGTTTGACATGGTCCCAGAAAATACGCAAATAAGAAACATGGTTGCCGCGATTGTTCAATAACCCTCATGAATTTGTCTTCCAGACTTTTGAAGCAACCTCTGGCCTGAAAGCCAAACGAAACTAAGAGGAAACTTGCCGTTTTGCGCTGGTGTTCAATTGGCAATTTTCCCAGATGCGGGGGTGGTTACCACAAGAAAAGTTAAGGGTTCTTCATTGTTGTTGGCTAGTTTCTTGATGTTTCTAGGCTTTTTGCATTGTTGGTTCCGTTCTTTTTGACACCCTGCCTAGACTCATCCGTTCCCATTAAGTCGATTGGGGGGGGTCGATCAATCAAACAGCTGAGAGAACGAGGGAGTCAGGAATACTTTTTTGGGCACTGCTTAGCAAGCAGTCGCTGCTTGTTTCTTTGGCGTTTCCTGTTTCCTGTTTAGGGTTAGCCAGGCGCTTTCAATGGTCTTGTAACGGATGGGCTGTTTTTCTGGGTGATTTGCAAATTAGAATCATGTCCAACTTCCACAAATGGAAGCCACAAGCCGGGCCGCATGGCATGCAGACTCGGCTTTGGCATCTTGATGCGGATATTGATTTTAAGACCCTCAGTTCACACTTCCCAGCGCCCGGTTGCCATAGGTGGCCATCATGACCGAGCTGCTGCGGCTGTTTTTGAGGCCAGGCCCTCGGGCGGAAAGAGGCCCCTCCAACTCCTCTCAGTTGGGCCAGGTTCGATGTTGGAACATGCCTGATTTGTCCAAAGCCGACCTTTTGACCTGTTGGTTTCCCCTTTTTCGTCCATTTTCAGTCATGGTCCCAGTTCTGGGTCCTTTGAGCAACTGAGATGTTGAAACAACTTGAGGTGAATCCGCCCTCTCTCTCTCTGTTAGGGAGAAGCCCGGCAGCCTACACACCTCGTCGCATGGGTCGGTAGTCTGTTGCCTCGGGTCCGTGCCCAGCACCCGTTACCCACTTCATCCCAGTGTTTGACAGTTCAAATGGATCCGGCTTTTGCTCATGTCACTTCTTTCAAGGGAGGCCGATTGTGCCTTCCACCGCTTCTCCGAAGATGCGGCCATTTGGCCGACCAGCCATGTGTCAAGGGAAATGGCCGCGTGCCGCTTGGCTATTTATGCGCGACACATATTCCTATTAAGTACCAATCGCCTATCATATGAACCTTATACGCCCTATGTAGCAGTCACGTCGTCATTTCTTTGGGGGAACTCTGTTGTCTTTTTCCTAGCTCCAAGCTCTGTATTTTGGGGGCCTCTGGAAACCAAATGTCAGTAGGTCCAGACGCTTGGGGAAAAAAACAGAAGAAACAAAAGGGGAAAAAACGGGGAGCGAGCCCCCGCTCGCCCGCTCGCCCGCTCGCCCAGCGCGAGGGAGCCTTTGCCCGTGGACGTCATCTTCAACTTCAACGGGGGCGAGGAGTTCTTGATGCCGGCGGCCCATGGTTTTGTGACTTCGCACCCCTGGGCAGCAGACGCTCGGCAGCAGACGCTTGTCGGCCCAAAGTGGCGGATGAAATGGTGCTAATTAAACGTTTTGTGTTTTTTTCCTTTTTTGTTCCGCTTCCCGGGGGAGAAAAACAAAGCGACCCCAAAAAGGGTCCCTCAAAAAAAGAGAGACGCTTGGAACTGCAACTCGCACCTATAGCAGCCACGAGACGCCACCTCTTGAGAAGGATTGCCGGTGGGAAGTACGCTCGTTGCCACTGGATGGGGCGTTCCGAAATCAGGACGTTTGCGCGCAGATCAACCTCGAGGCGGGGACTGCCATTGATTTGGTCACCCTTGGAAACCAGCGAACCCCTGCCTGGACAAACAAGAAACTGGACACACAGATTGGTGAATCTGGGCTATCCGGTGGACTTACGAGCGCACGCAATAATTTGAACTTCAAGGGGCCCTTGCCGTTGTTTACGCTTCCTGTGAATAACGATGACCCATGGCCATAAGTACTCCCAGAGTTTGTTTGTGCTAAGCAGTCCATAGCTTTTGGTCATGTTCTTTTTCGACGGCACGAACAAGTGGATTTGGTAATTAATGGATCATGTGCCACAATCAACACCCGGACAAATGGGTGCCGCCTTCTCAATTATCTACATCGTTTTGGGTAGACCATTCAAATACCAGGCCCGCACACCCACATACAACGGCTTTTAAATTCATACATGAATGTTCAGTGGAATGACGAGCAATTCATCCTCAGCATGAAGCTGCGCACGCTTCACCATTCTTGCTTAAGATTCTGCTGACTTGAGTGCGGTGACTTGAGTGGATACCTGTTTTTTGTTGTTGTTTTTTTTCATTTTCCTGACTTGAGTGCAGTGGCTTGGGGGGATACCATTTGTTAACATATAATACGACATGGTTGTTCTAGGTCCCAATCGCAGGCGGGCGGCTCCGGGGGGCGAGAGCTGCTCTTCCAGCTGGGCCCAAAGCACCGCTGGCTGGCGGAGGCCTTTGCCTCAGCGGCCCCCCGCCCGCCGCTGGGCGAATGCTTTGGGCCGGGTCCGACGGGCCCCGAAGAAGCCAAGAAGCCTCCAACATGTCTCTGTCCTTTTTGAGCTTCCCCAGAATTAGCTCCCCTTTTTGCTTTTTGGCTTTTTCTTGGTTCTCTTTGTTTTCCACTCACCGGGCAAAAAGTATGTTTGTTTTTTGCTGGGGTCCTAATTCTGGCCTAGTTTGGTTGTTTTGGTAGACAAATAGATGGCGATTCCTGGTTTGCCAGCTAGTTTAATCATCTACTAGGGAAACCCATCTATTTGGCTTAAACGGACACCTATGCCCTCCAACATATCTGTGGATGGTTGCGAAATCCATAAAACGCACCTAAGACACCCTGGAATGATTCGACCCCCCTGCAAATACCAACAAGCATTGGTTTTCCATGGTGTCAAAGTGGTGCAATATTTTGTCCATCCACAGTATGGCTGCGGCTCCAAAAACTGGTACCACTTCTTGGCCCCTTGGATGGAAACACAGACCAACACCTGCGTTAAAAAAGAAGAAGAAAATACAAGAAAAAAACATGCCCCAGACACATCTTATAGGAATCTTCATCTTGGGATGCCAAAAAGGTATGTTGGAGGGTTTTTGGACATGCTTGTTTAACACATACCTCGGACACTGGGGGGGTTCTTGGATCAAGGGAAGCTTCTTCTTGGGATTCCTTCTTGGGATGGCAAGTCAAGTCCGGACACATGAAAGGAATCATCTTTTTGGGAAGCTTGGATGCTCAAAAGGTATGTTGGAGGTTTCTTGGACTTGACTTTAGCTCAAAACTGACCTTGCTGTGCTCCCCCCGACCCTTCTCAATTGGGTTGGCTCCAAATTCGGTGTTAAGACATGCTTCATTTGTCCAAAGCCGGCCTTTAAACCTTTGTGTTTCCCCTTTTGTCCATTTAAAACGTTTCGAGAAGGTTAGCCTTGTATTTCTGGGTCCCTTGGGCTAGTGGGCTTAAGATCCACTTTTTCTTGGGGGTGTCCCATGGCACACAAAGCAACGAACAAAGCAGAAGGCACCAATTCGCGTGACGTTGAGTCATCACTTTCCCCATGCAGTGCAGTCAAAACGGTTGCAGTGTAAAGACCGTTGCACTATCATTTGCACCCCCAGAGCCATGGCAAGCTTAGCAGCTGAAACAAGAAGTTTGGACCTGTTCAGGCCATCTACTCAGGTGAGTTTGCGGGTTCAATCAGGCTGAGCATCCAGGTGTGAAATAGTAGGTCTGGTGTTCCATTGGATTTCTGAACCATGGTTTTCCCTTACCTTGCAACAGTGGTAGCACGGTGAGTTGAAATGCACATAGAGGCAGCCCCGAAGACCTTGGTAAAGGTCCGGCAAGTCAAGGCAAACTAAAACCCTGAATCAGGGTGGCCTGTGGGGCTTGTTTCGCGTGCTACATTGGCCCTTTGTGACATGTACAGCTCACAGGTGCGTCGCTTGAAATCGAGGTATGGCGCCTCCATATTGCAAGTCCTCTTCCAGACAGGCGTCGGGGGCAGTGGATTGCTTCCCTCAAAATAGTGAATAGCAGGAAGAGTAACTCGCCGCGAGAGACTGTAAGAGGTTTTTTTTTTTAAATCACCAGACAACGCAGCACCAAAGTGAGGGCCACTTTGAAGGCTCCTTTCAGCCTCCCAGGAATACTACCTGGTGAGGGCCCAGCCCCGTGGATTGCGCCGGCTCCTTCGTTTCACATTTCAGTTGCAACAATGGGCCCGGGCTGTTATTGCTGTTGTGTAGTTCTGCGGGGAGAAGCGGTGGGATGGTTCACGGCGTGCCCAAGTTCCGAGCCCCTTGGCCCCCAGCCTCGCTAGGCGGTGCTGATTGCTCATGTCACCGAGTGGAAGGCTGTTCCCAAAGCTACACCCGCCAAACAAGCATAACTTGTTTGGGGGGGTGTTTTTTTTTTTTTGTGCAAAGGTGCTGAGCAAATCAGGAACATTGCAGCTACTGAAGTTGGCGACTGCGCAGACTGGTTTTCCAAGATCAGGGCTTGTTGCAGAGAACTGCATGTTCACGCCACCTCCAACTACCCAACCGCTGGTCGCAGGACAAAAGCCTTTTGGCAATTTGTCCCTTGTCGTTTGCCCGCGGCTTTCTGCATCTGAATGTATTTGTCCGCCTGTGTTATGCAGCATTCTGTTTTGAGGTGCTTATGCCTTACGTTTGTATTCTCGCAGTTCCTAAGTGCCTTGCTGCCTCACAAATCCCAATGGGAGCGAGGCATCATCCCCGGGGAGACGGACTACCGGATCTACCGGGACTTCGGCGACATCCCGGGGGCCGATTTCGCCACGCTGACCAATGGCTGGGCACCTCGGCCGACCGCTCACCTGGCCGGGCAATGGCAATGCGCAAGATCCTCTCCCTTGGGTTGGGTAAGGGTTTGGTCCCCTTTGTATTCCTAGAGTCTCCATGACTCTTAAAAAATGGGGTCATTACCTAAAATAATGGAGTCATTGACCCATTTTAAAGGGTCATGGAGACTCCAGGTTGGTTTTTTCCCCTATTGGGATTGAGGAGTAGGACGAGCAAACCCTTCATTTTCAACAGCCCGGCCATGGTTTTTTCCATCCCACTCGGTGATATTGCCGGCAAGCGGGAGCATAGCATCCCCGACTCCCTTATGAAATTGGTGCCTTCGCTGGGGTGTGCCCTGTGGCTTGGATCTGGCGGATGTGATTCATGTCAACCAAATGTGAGGCTGCTTGGCGGAATTGCCTTGGAGAGTCCAACGCAGAGGCACGTCGCCCCAAAAGTTTGGTTGGAGTCAGGCGCTTCAATTTCTAGGATCCATGGAATGAAAGATGTTCTTGTACCAGTTTTTCGTTTTTTAGTTTTCGTACTCCCCCGACTAACATGGAAGCTCGCAGGATTTCTTTGGAAGACTTGGTTCCATTTACGCAGGCTTTCTGGGAGCTTCCGGCTGTTAGCCTGAGGGAGTGGAACCGAAAAGTGGCCATGGGTCAAAACCCGAATCGTACCCCCAGTGAACATCCCATTCAATCCAGCCACCTACCCCCAAATGGGATCCCATTGGTGTTGACCCACAGCCGAGTGGCTCGGCCAAGGTGTATCACACCTGGCGGGACGACCTCGCCCATGTGGACTTCCGGTCGCTGCAGCGCTACGGGGAGACGATCTTCGCGCGCCGGAGCCGAAGCGGTGTGCCGCCCAAAGGGCAACATATGCCCCCCACGAAGTGGTTCAATCAAAGGGTTTTGTGTAGCTAATGGGAACTGATGTGTTTTTTTTTTTTTGTGTGTGTGTGTGTGTGTGTGTTTGTTTTGGGGGGGTAGTCCAAATGAACGTTCAGGAGTGGCCGGATTGGCATGGTCCAATGTCATTCAATTTGTTCTAGCGTTGCGCCCACCCATAAAGAGTGCTAGAAGATTGCTGGAAGGGGTTGGGGGTCAGGATTTGCACTAGCATCATGCAAGATCATGCAAAGTGCAACCAACTGGCCCGTTGCTGAGCATGATGATAAGAGGTCGTCCATCAAACGGAAGCATGGGAGCCTATACGTTTGCCCGTCGCTCATCTTCCCGATTCAACCTGTCAATCCAGCAGCCCAATGCAGCAGCCCCGCACCAACCAGCCCTGAGACACGTGATGCCAGTTGCCTAGACAACGCGTGCATAGCAACAGGCTCATAGCAGTTGGTTGGTTTGGGGAGGCCATTGGGGAAACCCAGTTTTCTCATGCCCTCTTGAAGGGAGCAAGCAATGACTCTGATGGTTACAGGTTCACGCATCTCGAATCAACTGTCTAAGTCAACTTCACTGAATTCTTCGCACACCTCCTTCTTCCACCCCTTTGCGGAGTCTAGCTGTCTCCTCCCGATCTCCCGATGGATGAAGTGAACATTTCCCAGGAGCGTAGTTGAGCCCTTAAAGATCACCTCGGACCTATGTACGGGTTAGATCGGGGATTGGCATTTTGCCTCTTCCCCCAAGGCATGGTTGATCCCTCAGGACCTTCATTTTCGCGGAAACCCTGTTTGCAAGAGTAAGCGAACAAACCAACAAAGAGCAACTACAAAGAGGTACTCCCTGCAAACATGCGGTGGATGGACACCTTGAAACCATGGTTGAAACCATTGGTTGTTGGCATGTGCAGGGGAATCGAATCGTTCCCACGGATTTCTTGTGTTGTGCGAACGGATTTCGCGTCCATCCGGGAAGATCCAGTCCCGAGGTTTGCCCATAGCATGGCGCAGAAGCTGCAGCATGGCTTGCCGCCGCCAGGCGCGCCAAACCGTGGCATAGACCGGATGCAGCTGGCACAAAATGGTCGATATACCCAAGGGCGATTGATCGGTTTGGTTTTCCAGATCCGCTATTCAACATGAAATGGTGGGCGAAAGGGATGTCACTTCGGCCACGTGTTGTCGCAGAAAAGTGGCTTGCCACCTGAAACTGGGGGGGGGGGTGGCAATGTGTCAACAGACCGCCTCAAGCAACTATTCAAGCTTTCAAACTGTTATTCGCTGAATGGAGCAAAAATAGATGTCCAACATGTAAATTCCCTGATTTTGAACTGTCAGGCGTTCCCTTTGGAAACAAGCGTGCAGCCCACAATCCTGCACCAAAGCAATTGAACATGCGCGCTGGTGTGATTGTTTCACAGCTGGGTTGACTACCACGAGAAGTTAGGAGCCATTTTGCAGGATCATTTAGAATCCCGCAGGCATGCAACTACTCATCTTGCTTGCTACTGCTAAAAATCATAGCATTCACTTTCACTAATGGCCTTACCAGTTTTTCCTCCGTTTGATTGCCGTCCCTGATTTCTCCGAAACCTCCCTTTGGCCAAAACCATACTTAGCAGCTGTCACACTTGCATGAGCGTGTGATTACTGCTTGGTTTAGTCGTGGGCCAATCTATTCAAGTCTGCATATTTAATACCTAAAAGTTTGCACCAATAGGAGTTGTTGATGGGCGCTGAACGCCTTCACGCAAAAGCCCCCGGATCGAGCTTTATGTTTCACCTGGTGCAATATGGAAACCCTGCTTGTTTCTACCTGCGTGGCACGCCCCAGCCAACCAAGCCGTGAAGATACTGGGGTTTTCTGACAGGCAGCGCGGAAGCAGAGGAGTCGGCCGTGTTCTTTGACCTGGGGGGCCTTCTGATGGTGCAGTACAGCGCTAGCCTTGCCACGTCCTTTGGATCGATCCAACGAGACTGACCTTTCACTCGTCGAATCGACCTTTTGACCCTGGGGTTTCCATGTGAAGCTTTGAATTCCAGGTCCTTTTGGGCAAGTATGTTATCCTTTAACTATTTGGGATGTGGCTGGTTCTGAGCAAGAAGTTCCACTTGTTGCTCCGGGTGGTAGACACACGGTCAAGGCAAATTGCCACCCAAGAAACTGAGGGATAAAATTGGGTGAATTGAGTCCTTCCCTTCTGAAGCCTGGGAAGTTACTTCTCAGCTAAAACCGGCAGATCTTTTTGCCACTGGTTGGTTCAAGGAGGTCATGCTAGTTTTGGGACCCCGTGGCTCACTTCCAAAAAAAAGACAATGCGTGTATTGCACTGTTGAATAGGGAGGCTTTCCCGAATCGGCAGAAATCCAACTTCACCTGATTGTCATGGCTCAGGGCTTGAGGCGGTCCCTTTGGACCAATTTGACCTGGTGGGCTCCAGTCATTGAAAACCCCGAAGCATCAGAGGCATGGTGGGGGACCTTTGGGTTGGGAAAAATGCAGATGAAACAAAGAGGGGACCCACGAACTGCTGAGGATGGTCTCACTTTTGTTCCAGGGCAATGTGTGAAAGACTCCAAAAGGGTCTGTTGCCAAAGGGACAGGGCAACCACCACCCTCCCCCTCAGGACCAGGTAGTTGCCAAGTTACGTACGTGTACTTAGCAGTTCAAAACCTAAAAGCAGGAAACCTCATGGCGGCTACTTAGAAAGTGCTTCGCACCCAGGGTTAGAACCAGTTGCCCCTGTTCGTCCCGTTCAGTGGGGTGTAACCAGGGTTACAAACCACTGACTAGCCGATCCCCTCCAAAGAAGTCCTTCTATTTGCTCAAGAACATGCTTCTTATGTTCCCCTACTGGTTTTTCAGGAGATTCATCTATCACTACTGGGCGCATGTGTTCTTTTTCCTGGGCTGACTGAAGCACATCGACGGATCCATCCGGACTTTCGAGACCGGAGACCGAGGCAGCTGCACGTGGCCGCGTGCCTGGTGGTTCTGAGCGTCTTCGGCCGCGCCCGCAGCTTCCTGAGCGCTTCGGTGCTGCTGCTCGCGGCGCTGGCCGCTCTGCGCCTCGGTTTCACGGCGCCCCTCGTGTCCCCCGCGCGGGGTTTTGGACGCCAGGCATGTGGCTGTGGGTCGAAAGTTAGTGCCTAAAGTGCAACCCTGGTACATGGAAGCAGGGACTAAAACCTGCGGTCCCCTGGTGGCCATGCCCATTTCTTGCAACTTAAAGTAGAGAGCCTGGCTTGGTGCCCGTGTGCATAGATCAAGCCACGAAACAAGTAGAGGCTGTTTCCTTGGCCGTGCGCGTTAGCAAACTGGGGGTGGCGTGCTGTGTCTCTGCCGGGCCTTCTGAAGGCACCGTCAGCCCGGAGTCCCCCCCCCTCCCCATCGGGCAAGACACGTGATTTCGCCACCTCTTAGCTGAGCCTTTGCTAACTGATGGGACAATAATTCAATCTCCTTGGTGCAGCGAGAGTGTGCCATCTTTTCCTTGGTGCCCATATTGGCAAGCGCGAAAGCATGGGCGCCGCAAAGTGGTGGCTCCCCCTTCGCTTTCGCATGAAACCAGCCAGAGCGGATCTGACAAGGGTGCCTCACAAAGCACACCTTCGCATTTCAAGGTCTTCTGGCATTCCTCCACACCGAATCAGCACGCTCGAAAGACGTCTTAAACACAAAGGAATGCCTGGGTGTCTAGCAGCATCCTTGAGCGGCGGGCGCGAAAGCCATACCTCGTTCTATCACGGCAGCTATCACTGGGGTTCCCAAACCTGAAAGTAGTGTTTCCGCCACCTTCCAGTCAGCTCACCAGCTCAAGCCTGGCGTTCTCGGAAAAAACTGAGATGAGACTGTGTCAAGGTGCCACCTTCCTTCCCCATCCAGACATCAAGCCATTCAGTCCCCACCTCCCACTCCAAATCCCACCGCGATTAGTCACTTCACCTTCCTTCCCCACTCTCCTTCCTTGACTGCTACTGGGTTGGACCTTCAGACTTTAACTTTATGGTTGAAATCAAGGGGTTTTCCACTAAACCCCCAAAAAGTTGAAGAAACAAAACTGTTTGCAGGGAGTTAACAGCAACCAAGCTTCCACGAGAAAAGTTTACCAAACCCAGGCTTTGCTGCGGTCTGGTGGGCGCCTTCTTAGCCTTCACCCCCTGCTCCATGGTGGCCTCCGGGCACCCGGAGATGGTGCCGCTGCTTTTCGGGCCCCCGGCGCTCGCGGGCTTCACAGGCGCTTTGTATGTGTGTGTGTGTGTGTTTTTGCTTGCCTGCTTGCTTGCTTGCTTGCTTGCTTGCTTGCTTGCTTGCTTGCTTGCTTGCTTGCTTGCTTGCTTGCTTGCTTGCTTGCTTGCTTGCTTACCTGGTTGGTTGGTTGCTTGCTTGCTTGCTTACCTGGTTGGTTGGTTGCTTGCTTGCTTGCTTGCTTGCTTGCTTGCTTGCCTGGTTGCTTGGTTGCTTGCTTGCTTGCTTGTTTGCTTGCTTGCTTACCTGGTTGGTTGCTTGCTTGCTTGCTTGCTTGCTTGCTTGCTTGCTTGCTTGCTTGCTTGCTTGCTTGCTTGCTTGCTTGCTTGCTTGCTTACCTGGTTGGTTGGTTGGTTGGTTGCTTGCCTGGTTGGTTGCTTGCTTGCTTGCTTGCTTGCTTGCTTGCTTGCTTGCCTGGTTGCTTGCTTGCTTGCTTGCTTGCTTGCTTGCTTGCTTACCTGGTTGGTTGGTTGCTTGCTTGCTTGCTTGCCTGGTTGCTTGCTTGCTTGCTTGCTTACCTGGTTGGTTGGTTGCTTGCTTGCTTGCTTGCTTGCTTGCTTGCTTGCTTGCTTGCTGGTTGGTTGGTTGGTTGGTTTGTTGGTTGGTTGGTTGGTTGGTTGGTGCTTTGCCTTCTTTGGTTGTTTGAGGTGTCGCGATCTTGTTTGTTTGTTTGTTTGTTTGTTTGTTTGTTTGGTCGAGGTATCGTGATGTCTCTTTAGAGACAGGTAACCTTTAGTTTGTTTGGACTGGTGGGTTGGATTTGAACCCCGTCTGGCACAAGTGGGAAACCACCCCCGCAACACCTCCAAACCAGCAAAACCAAACCACCAACTGGGGGAAGCTGCGCTCGTGAAGGCTTCGAGTTCTCATTTGGCAGGGTAGTTTTGAGGATGTCACTGAAATGATCCCAGTTTCGTCTTGGCCAGGGGGCGGTGCGGGAGAAGAGCTTGTGAGCCACAGCAAGCACCTCTTTACCCTTGGTTGTCCTAGTCTTGGTATACCTCAGAGAGAGTTCTGTGATTGTCATTGCGCCTCACTTGTGTTGTTTCCCGGTGGCTTCCCGTAGACGGATGTTCCAAACAATGTCCGTTCAATTGGACGGCGCCAGGCTGCCTTTGGCTACTAAAAGACCAGAAGGACGCGGCCCAAGGTGCGGTGGTGCTGTCAGCGACGCGCCGCAGCAGCAGAGTCGGAGTTGCTGAGTCGCCTCATCCCTGCCCCCTTAAAAATGGAATTGGGGGAGGGGGGTGGCCCCTGGAATTCCCTTTATAGTTTCAGTTTCCCTTTCATGGGGAAGACTAGATTACTGATATCAAGGGACCCCCTACCCCCTTTTTTTTACTGTAGGGGGCATGTCGCCTCGCCCTTGGTCTTCCAAGGACCCTGAAAAACCGGATCCTTCTTGATTCTCCTCTTGGTCTCAAATGCAGGCTGCAGGCCTTGGCCAATGGGGTGTTAGGCTGCCAGATGTCATGGGCGAAGGATGCAGCCTGGATGGGGTTCCCACTGTGGTAGCGAAACAAATGAAGTCATGTTCTCCGCCGTAGGGTCGGTCTCGGCGAGCTGTCCTGCCTGGTTTGCCTTTGTAGTGCTTGGGGTTTATGAGGGGGGTTGACTTTAAGAATTTACACCGGATCGGTTGGGCCTGCGGGTTTGTGTAAAGAGCCCATTGCACTTGGATGACACGCACAATCATGAGTGCATTTTGGTTTGAAACCACTTAGAGAAGAGTACATGACGTTGAAGCCGCTTTAAGATCAAGGCATTGCGGAAAAAGAAGCAGTGCCGACCGGACAGGTCATTCGCAGGTTATGAGCCCAACGCTCTGACCCAACCCGAGTTGCCATGGCCGAGGACCCCAACAAGGCCCAGGACCCCAGAAGGACTCCAGGGCTGGTGACGTCACGGCGGCGGGTTTGGACAGGTGGAGGAACGCCCCCGAGCGAAGAACGAGATCAGAGGGCCATTGAGGACGCCAAAGCCGAGGTGTCCGCGATGTGGCCTGGAGGGCCTGACAGCGAACCTCTGGTGATGGTGCCAGCGGCGCCGGGGCTCTTCACAGATGAACAGATGAAGAAGTTGAAGGATTGGGAGGAGGAGGCTCCCATGGTGAGCCGCCCGGCAACACATAGCGGCGGTGGCTTTGAGGACTTCTTGGAGAAGTGCCAGAACGACCAGGGTGGTGAAGCCCGTCAGGACCGGGAAGCTCATGCAGGTGCTGGGAGTGCTGGAGGAGCAGGTCAGCGAGGGCATGGGCATGATTCTGGAAATCCTGGATGGGGGGTTCGGGGTGCTGAACTCCAGCTACGGCGAGACGCCGAAGGTCATCAAGGTGGGCAGCAAATGATGCGCCAAGGCATCGGTGAGCTGCAAGGGAACGTGCCAGTGATGCTGGCCCAGGAGATGGTCCAGATCAAGGACATGATGGGCCAGATGATGAAGTACAATCAAACCATGCAGATCGAGCTGAACGTCTGCAGGCAGAAGATCCATGATCTCCAATCTGGAGGCTCAGCAGGGCAAAGCGACCGGTTTGCGACCCCGGATGGGAAGCCAGCAGCCCCGGAAGCAGAAGAGGCCTCGAAAGCGGAATCCTCGGAGGAGCTCAAACGAGATGAACCGGCTGCCGGAGAACCGATGGAGGTGATACTCAAGATCCTCCACGGCATGCAGCAGATGCAGAACAAGCTGATGGAGCAGAAAAGCTCAGGAGGCAGCGACGGGCTGGAGGTGGTGCGCGGAAGTGGGGTGGAAATGCCGAAGCTCCCGGAGTATAAGCCTGATACGGCGGCCATCGACATTGGCGATTGGCTCTGCCTACTGGGGCCGGTGGTGGGAGACCTCAGCGACACGGCCTACCAATGGTGGACGAAGTTGATGGAAGCGGCGAGGCTGTGGTATCAGAGATACACCGCAGCGGTGCCGCTGAAGCGATTGGAGATGAGCCCGGTGGCACCTTTGGACCTTTGTGAAGGAAAATGGAGAAGATTGGAGCGGCGGGTGGTGAGCTTGCTGCTGGGTGCGATTCCGGAAGCTTGCAAGGAGGAAATGGTGGCGGTCAAGGCCATGACCTCGTACGAGATCATTTGCCGCCTCATGGCTTTGTATCAGCCAGGAAGCCTGGCGGAGAAATCGGTGATTCTTCGCAACTTGGAATCGCCCCCCGAGGCCAGCGACATCACGGAGGCGGTGAAAGGTCTTCGGCGGTGGATTAGATGGCGGCGGAGGGCGGAGGAGAATGGCGTCACCATTCCAGACGCATCGGTCTTGGCAAGGGCGGTGGTGAAGCTGATTCGCAAGGTGACGGATCACGACAAGGACCTCGGGTTCAAGGTGGCGCTCACTCGCAATACGCTGCAGCTGGATTCGGTGCCCAGCCACGACACGGTGATGAAGTTTACGGAGCACATCTTGTCGGAGATGGAATCATCAGCCCACATGGACTCCAAGCACAAGGTTCAGCCTAAGGCTCCGGTGGCGGAACAACTCAAGGCCAAGAAGCTGGAAGGTGCGGAGGAAGTCAAGGGAGAGCAGAAGGGCATGGAGGAGGCCAAGCCTTGCAAGTTCTTCTTGACGGACAAGGGCTGTCGGAGGGGGAAGAGTTGCAAGTGGAGCCACAACCAAAAGGATGAGAAGATGCGGTGTTGGGCGTGCGGAGCGTCGGAGCACCTACGCAAAGATTGCCCACAGGCCGGAATCCCGAGTGGCGACAGGAAGCCGAAAGTGGCGAAGGCCGAGGCGGAGATCCACAGGGTCGACCAGGTGACGATTACGGAACCCGGGAAGGTGGACACTACGCCAAGGACACCGTCATCCTCAGCCTCAACAAACGGGACGCCAGACCTGAGAAGCAGAACGCCTGAGGCGGAGCCGAATGCGATGCAGGAAGCATTGTCAGAGGCTACGAAGATGCTCAAGAGCATCAATGTGCAGAATCCTGGCGATGCCAGGAAGGTGGAGAATGAGCTCACCCTGAAGGACCTACAGAAGCAGTTGGATGGCATGCGAGAAAGGATGAGGCTGAATCAGATCACCCTCAAGCTGTCCAAGGTCGAGACGGGTGGTGGAAGAGGACTGGTGGACTCAGGGGCGACGAACCCATTGAGGCCGCTGGAGGAGGGTGAAGACATTTCGGGGTATGAGAAAAGGGAAGTGGAGCTGGCGGCGGGAGAGACCTTTCCGCTGAGTGTCACCCCGGCAGGAACGTTGGTGGCTCCCCGAGGAACCCAGCCGATTGTGCCGATGGGAGCGCTGGTCAAGGTCTTGGGATGTCGGATGAGCTGGGCGGGAGGTCATTGCAAGATTCGACATCCTGTCCGAGGAGATCTTCCGGTGGCAATGAGCCAAGGGTGCCCCGAGCTGCCCATAAGAACGGCCTTGGAACTCATCGAAGAGCTGGAGGAGGCGCACAGAATCAAGGTGCGGAAGCTGACCACCAGCGACGAGCTGGAGTATGTGAAAAAGGTGATAGAGGAACACCCTGTGTTCCGGGACCTCCCATGGCATGTGAAAAAGGAGCTGTTGGTCATGCCGGCCGACGATTGGAAGCCATTGGGATTGAATAGGTCCAGAAGGAGGAGGTTGGAGCGAATGGGCGGAGCGGTGGTTCACCTTTTCGCAGGGCCTCAAGAAGGTTATGATCTCTCGCGGGCCTACAAAGAGCAAGGTGGAGATCCGCGGGACATCCTGGAGTATGACATTGTCAGGGGGGCGGAGCACGACCTCTTGGCGAACGAGCTGATGAGCGGCTTGATGAGACTGGCGCTGGATGGGAGGATGAAGGCGCTGGTGGGTGGACCTAATTGTCGCACCAGGTCGGTGCTGAGGTTCTATCCCCTGGAGAACCGGGACAGGCCGCGTCCGGTGAGGACACTGGAGAAGAGATGGGGCTTGGATGACCTCGACCCCCAGGAAGAGAAGATCGTGGTGGAAGACGACATCCTTCTCTTTCGCTTCATCCTGCTCTACGTTCTGGCCGACTTGAAGGCCAAGGCGGAGGTGAAGGTGGAGCGCGAGGGCAACGTCGGGTTCTTGTTGGAGCAGCCGGCCGAGCCGCGGGATGAATCGAGATGTCCTTCATTCTGGAGAACGGAGGAGTGGAGGAATTTGAAGAAGATTCACCACTTGCGGGAGATTACCTTCAAGCAAGGGGATTGGGGCGGCAAAGCCCCCAAGCCGACGACGGTGGGGACAACGATGGATGTTCGCCTACCTCAGACCGGAGGAGGTCGCCTCATGGAGAAGGACTATGGCAAGCCCAGATGGATGATGACGGACGTGGAGAAGCTCCAGACGTCCAAGGAGCTGTCGAGATGGGCTCCGGGAATGATGCGGGAAATCGCTCGTTGCCTGAGATGGGAGCTGGGCGAGACTGGGCCGAAGGTCAAGAAGCTTTCCTGGGAAGAGCACATCAAGCTGGGGCACTTGCCGTATCGGCGGGATTGTGCGGTGTGTCAACGAGCATCTGCACGGGACCGCCCACACAGACGCATCAAGCACCCGGATGGGAACGTCCTCTCGGTGGATTTGTCGGGGCCCTTTCGGTATGGCAGGGACATCGACGACGTGGAGGACAAGCGCTATCTGCTGCTGGCGGCCTACACATGGCCCCAGGTGCACGTGGAGTCTGAGGAGCATCATCCGGGAGAACCTGAAGGTGATGAGCCAGAACATCTTCCCGAACCGGAGGAGGATCAAGATCCGGAGGAGGAAGAGGAGGAATCCTTGGAGGTGGAGGGCGGAGACCCGGAGGCAGAGGAACCGGTGATACCGGAGGAGCGTCAGGAGCCGGGCCCGCTGAAAACGCTGTACTTCACGGTGCCGCTGAAGTCCAAGAGCAAGAAGGAGGTGCTGGGTGCCATCCAGGAGGTCTACATCAGACTCCGGCGAGAAGGGCTCATGGTCAACCGCCTGCACTCAGATAAGGGGGGTGAGTTCGTCTCGGGGGACCTGGCGCGGTGGTGCAGGCTGCGGGATATTCGCAAGACGACCCGCTCGCCAGATCAAGATCAGGAAAACGGTCGAGCTGAAGCGGCGGTGGGGGTGGTGAAGTCGATGATCAGACGGGTCCTCATCTCCACGGGCTGGGACTCGAAGTGGTGGCCTTGCGTGGCACGCTATGTGGCGGAGACGAGGCTGGCCTACGACATGAAAGGCACGATGCCCAAGCACAAGTTTGGGGAGGAGGTCCTGGTGCCGAAGAGAGCCTGGAAGCAGAAAGTTTTCAAGGCGACCCACCAGAAGGCATGGTACCTGGCTCCGATCCATGACATGTCGAATGGGCATGCAGTGCACTTGCAGGAGCTGAAGAAGGTTCTCTGTGTATCTAAGGTGGTGGGTGGCCTCCGTGATGGAAGAGAACCGGAGGCTCGGCAGGAAGAGGAGAATCCGGAAGGAGATGCTCTTTTTGAAGAAGCTTTGAGAGCGAGACGGCGGATTCGTCTCAAGACCAGCGAGGCGAAGCTGTTAGATGATGGAGGTGGTGATGAAGTAGCTCTTCGTCTGAAGCACCTGCGGCAGATCATTGTCGAAGAGGAGGAGACGCTACTGGAGGAGGATGAAGAGGCGTCACAGACCTCAATGAGGATGGTGCGGAAGCTTCGCCAGGAGGAGGAGGCGCTGAAGCACCTGGTGCCGGACCATGAAGAGGCGGAAAAGGTCCTACACACGAAGATGATTTCGCCAAACGAGGTCATCAGGGACAAGGAGAAATGGGCGGACTCCATCCGGACCGAGATTGAGGCGCTCATGACGGAGAAGAAGGCGCTGCGGAGGCTTTCCCCGAAGGAGGCGCGCAGCATGATGGAGAAGAAAGGGAACAAGATGACGGTGGTCCCAGGAAAGGCCATCTTCAGCGTGAAGGCTGGGTCGGCTAGAAAGAAGACTCGGCTGGTGGTGTGCGGCAACTACATCGACGCCAATGCGGCGGTGGAGGGTGACACGTACGCGGGTGGCACAGACACCACGGCGATTCGCCTGCAGCTTAAGGTGGGCGCGGAGCACATGTGGACCACGTCGGCCTTGGACATCAAGGCTGCCTTCCTGAACGCCGATCTACATACGGTGGAGGAGCCGGAGGAGGTGGTGGCGATGCGTCCACCGGCGGTGATGGTTCGCTTGGGGTGGGCAGAGCCTGGAGAACTTTGGCTCATTGACAAAGCCATGTATGGGCTACGTCAAAGCCCAAGACGATGGTCAGATCATCGAGACCGCGAGCTGCAGGTCCTGGAATGGGAGATGGACGGACTCGTCTACCACCTGGAGCAGTGCGTGGCGGAACCGAACCTCTGGCGGATGCTGAAGCCGACGGAGGCGGGTGAGAAGCTGGTGGGGCTGGTCTCGATCTACGTGGATGACATCTTGACCACGGCGGAGACGGCTGTGAGAAAGGCGTTCGAGAAGGTCATCAGAGAGAAGTGGGAGACGAGCACCCCGGAGGAGCTCACGGAGTACAATCAGGTGCGCTTCTTGGGGATGAACATCAAGAAAGAGGGCGACGATGTTTTCATTCATCAAAAGGACTATGTCGAGGAGGTCCTGGAGCGGCACCAAGATGAGATTGTGCGAGCAAGGTCACCGATGACCAAAGAGATGTCCGATGAGGCGGAACTGGTTCCCGGGGACTACAGCCAGGAGGATGTCACCCGAGCTCAACGCATAGCGGGGGAGCTGCTGTGGCTGATGACCCGGACAAGGCCGGACCTTCTCTTCGGCATGAGCAGGCTTTGTAGTATGTCAGCGAAGAACCCCAAATGGGTGATTCGCGCCTCGGGCTACATGCTTGGGTACCTCCGCGAGACGAAGGGGTGGGGCATCCGGATCACGAAGGATTCCGGGCAACATTGGTCTGGGCATGGACCTGGCGGACTTCAGGCCTACTCGGATGCATCCTTCGCACCATCAGGAGCACGAAGCCAAGGATGCTCTGTGGTGTGCTGGAACGGTACGGTGGTCGCCTGGAAAGCGGGGAAGCAAGCGTTCCCGGCCTTATCGACTGCTGAGAGCGAGCTGATCGAGGCGATCGATGCGGTGGTTCTTGGAGACTCGGTGGAGGCCTTGATCGGCAACGCCATCGGCATCGAGGACTTTCCGAAGATGCTGTTGTGTGACAACGCGGCAGCGGTGTCCATCGCAACGGACACAGCAGGTGCATGGAGAACGAGGCACCTGAGGCTGAGGGCCTTTCATCTCAGGTGGCGCGTGCGAGAAGGAGAATGGCTGATGAGGCATTGCCCAGGTCAGCAGATGTTGGCGGACCTTGGCACGAAGCCGCTGGGGCCATCGCGCATCAGAGAGCTGTGCGAGCTGTGGAACCTGCAGCCGGAAAAGGAGGTGGAGAATGTCAAGGTGGCCTCCATCAATGTGAACCTGCAGAGGGAGAAGGTGGTCAAGCTGCTGGTTGCGCTGATCCAGATCACGGCATGTAAAGCCGAAAAGGAGAAGGGCCAAGCAGAGGACTCCATGGACGTGACAGTGCTGGTTTGCATCATTGCGGTGGTGTCCGTGGTGCTGTACCGGCTGATGAAGGAGCTGGGGGCTGGAATCGGCACTTTGCTGGAAGGCCCATGCTCGAGAGTGAGGAGGCTGTTCCTCACCAGTCAGAGTGAGCAAGCCACTCAGACAGAAGATGACAGTGAAGTCATCGAGGTGCCGAGGTGGACGCAAGCAGCCACGGAGGCAAGGCCTTTGGAAGCTTCAGTTGGGACTTCCTCGAGGCCAAGCCAGTTGAGGAGGAGGACTAGCGGTCAGGCTGAGGAGCAACCCCCAGCCGAGCAAGCTCCTGGACGGCCGGTTGGGCCGCAGACGGAGGATGAGAGATTGAATGCAAGGTGGCGAGAAGAGCTCATGGTCATGGAGCAGATCCGTTGGCGTGAGGTGCAGCCGGAACCGGAGGCAGTGGAGGTCTACCACATCACGTCGATGGGTGATCGAATCCATTGGCGACGCAACTGCTACGGGCTCCGGAACGCCACCATTCGTGGATTAAGGGCGGTGCTGCCATGCCCACACTGTTGGCCGGGAGATCGACAGAGGGTCCGTGGTGCGCGGTCCTATCGGGGGGAAGATGGTTTCCTACATGGCAGTGCTCGTTGTGTGGGCATCGGCCGAGAGCCACTGAGCCCCATGCAGCCGTGCAGATTCTGCCAAGGCGGGGTGACCCGTGACAACTTTGAGAGGATGCAAGATGAGGGCAGATTGCCCCGCGGGATGACGTGACGAGCGGCTTGAGCTGAGCATCATGAGCAAGCAGTTCGGATGCTGTGAGGGGGGAAATAGCGACGGGACCCGTCGTGATTTTTGGAGCTTTTGCTCTGCACTCCCAGTGCAAAAGGGAGGAGTGCGGGTTTGTGTAAAGAGCCCATTGCACTTGGATGACACGCACAATCATGAGTGCATTTTGGTTTGAAACCACTTAGAGAAGAGTACATGACGTTGAAGCCGCTTTAAGATCAAGGCATTGCGGAAAAAGAAGCAGTGCCGACCGGACAGGTCATTCGCAGGGCCAACCCAAAAGTGTGGAAACCCTCGGTGTGGTGCCCTACGAAGACATATCCTCACGGGAGGCTGGGGCCACCCGTATTCGATCAGAAGCTCATGAGGATCCGAGGGCTTGAGCCCTACCTTCGACTTGCCGTGGTCACACTTGGCGAACAAACCAGCCACCATTACAAGATGGCACATGTTTGTCCTTGTATGAAGCCTCATATGTAGACTATTTGCAGAACAGCCTCATGATATTCCCTCTGCTCGTCCCCAGCCTCTCAGCCACACATGGCATGATCTCTGGCTGGAAGTTGAACTCATACCATCCCCGGGGCGGCCAGGGCACCAGAGAATGATGCAGTCGTGTAGTGGTATCCCAGCTTTCCTACTGTTTTGGTGGGTTCCTCTTCAACATCACTCAATTCCCCAAAGCAAAAAAAACGCTGGGCAGACAACTTCCATTTTCTGCCATCTCAGGCTTTGCTTGGCCCTCTCGGTGAATTCGGTCACGGACTCTCAGCGGCACTCGGTTCAGGGCCCCGTTCACTTGTGCATTTTGCGTACCTCCAGTACTGCCGTTGGCTCGTGGCGGTTCATGTCAGCGCGTGTCCCGTTTAACACCAACCAAAACAAATCTTTGTTATTTTCCCTTTTTTGTTTGTTTGTTTGTTTTTTGTTTGCTTGCTTGTGTGTTCTTTTGTTTTTTGTTTTGTTTGTTTTCTTTGGTGGTTGGGCTGTTTGGCATTTGAACCAAGCTTAGTTCTCATAGACTTTGAGTAGCAAACAACACGTCCAGTGGCTTGACTTGGCGCCAATCCGGGCAGGAACGGAGATGCATCTTGGGGAGGGTCCTCTCGGCTTTCTGAGGTCCAGTCTTCCTACCTCTTCCTGGTTTGGTCTCTCCCAGCACTGGGCCTTCTGGGCAGAGGCTTCGTGTTCAAAGTTGTGCGAGTCGCCACCTTTCTGCTGCCCTGGCTCTTGCAGCTGCAGCTTTTAGCCACCCGAAGCAAATTGGCAATGAGATCGGATGTTCTCTGGTGGGGAGCTTTAGGAAGTCATCAGTGGGCTCAAAGTGTGGTAGCGTGCATTGACGGGCTCTTGGTCGCGGAATCGTTCCTGCAGAATAGGACTACGGAATTTCTGGAGTACGACTAAATCACAGGCCCTTCGCATTCTGGCTTGGTAATCCATTTTTGGTAAGCAGCGTTCACTCGCTTCATCTTGCTTCACTTGCTTGCCTCATGTTTTCGCGGGTTCTCCGTCGCCTTTCGGGTTCTCCGCGGCGGTTGGTTGGCCGCTCGCCGCTCGCCTCTCGCCGGCTGAAGGTGATGGCACTGGACCTGCTGTGCCCGCTGACCTTTCGCAGTGGCACCTCGAGCCTCGGATCCGAAGCCAATGAGGTCCGGACCAGAAGTCTCTGGGTGAAAGGTGGGGAAAATCGGACCACTTTTGGAGGGGAACACCCTGCTATTAAGAAACTGGGGTTGATTTATAGGGGGTCAACCTTATTTGGTTGCTGATCTTTGGACTTTAACTTTTTGGTTCAAACATGGTGGATTTTGCGTATTGGACCCATTAAAAGCGATTATTTTTGCAGAGGGTCGACAGCAACTAAGACACACTAAAACTACAACCCACAAAAGGCAAGCAAATCAAATCCCCTGTTCAGCGTTTGCTCTCCTCACAGGATCAGCGTCATCGGTGTCTTTTTCTAGCATGGTAGCTGGGCTACCCGAAATCTCATGGCTTCCATGACGGCGCCTTGGGGCTTGGCCCGGGGGCGCCTTCCATTTGCTTCGTTGCCAGTAGCCCGGGTTTTCTTCCGTTTGCCGCAGCTTTGCGAAGGTCCTTCGCAGGCTCAGGCCAGTCAATCACTCTTCCCAGCTGATTTGGAGGACTTTCAAAAGCTGGTGGTATTTGGGGTGAATGCCTTCTTGAAGCTTTTCGGGAAACCTCCCACGCCAAGGAAGGTAGGAATCTAGAAAACGGTTTGGATGCGCCTTTTGTGGTTTAACCCTGGTCTTCTCCTTGTTGATCCGTGTTTAGTATTCTTTTAGAGACGCCGAGGATCCCGGCGGACCTGGTGGTGGGCGGAGCCTTTGGCCTCGTCGCGGGCTTGGGCCTCGCCTTCTCGGCGCGGTTTGTGGCGCCGCTGCCGCTGCCGCGGGTGCTGAAGGCGGCTGGCTGGGGCTCGCGGGGCTCACGGGGTCGGGGGGGGGAACCGTTTAAAGGGCCGCCCCACCAGTGGCAGTGCCGAAAATAGGTGGCCATGGGTCAAAATCCAAATCGTACCCCCCAGCGAACACCCCACTCCAGCCACTAAAGTAGGTTCTAAAATGGGTGGTGCACCTACCCCAAAATGGTACCGTTGGTTTTTGACCCGCCCACCTTGAAAAGGGAATTGTGGAAGGGGAAGCTTGACATTCTCCAAGGAAGTTGGTGGGGACGCTCCGCCCCGCAATCCGCCTCAACATGCGAACCTAGGCACCACGCAAACATGCTCAGCTTTTTGTCGGCTTCGCTTTTGCTGACCAACCAGAATCAAAGGCATCCCCAACTTTACGACATTCGAGTTCGTCAACAGGTGACAGTTTACAACATATGCATTCCCAGACTGCTTTGGCCTTGTTTGGGGGCCCGGCACGCGGGGGCAAGCAACATTTCCCTTGCGAATCGGGTGTTCAAAACGGAGATTGTTGGGTGCTTAGACTCCGGTTGGTTCGTTTCTCCAAGCCCTTCGGCAGGCCTCAAAGCCAAGGTCTCGGGGAGGATGTTTTGAGTCGAGCGAGGACCATTTCTCTCGACTTTGCGTGGCTCTGGTAACCTCCTGTGAGCACTTCGCCAGCCACCCCGTGATCAAATTTTGCACATTTGGTCCAGTGGAGGAGGTGATTCTGGGTCGTGCAGCGTTCATGGCGTATGGTGTGGTCAGTCTTTTTGTTGAGGGTGCCTTTTTTTCTTTTTGGTTGGTTTTAAAGGAAAACCAGGACAACTGCAGCCATTTTTTGGGGGGTCCACCCAAAAAAGGTGCACCCATATAGTCCCGTCGCTGTTGGTCTGGAAAGCCCAGACGCCTTCGTTTCCAGGCTTGTGCGGTGGTCTTTCTGCTCACCGTGCCGGTGGCTTGGAGACTCGGCAACAAAAGCCGACTTGAAGCCTCGGGTGGCATATCAGGGAAATCAACTAGCAGGGATACACGGGGAACCAGGGACACGGGAGGGTTCCCCCTAAATGCACCTAGACTAAGTTTGATATGGGAAATGGTGCCAAGGGAATCCCCCCATATCCCCGCTCTCTCCGTATCCCTGCTTGTTCGGTTGTCCAAGCATAGAGGAGTCCCAGTTGTGTTGACCCACAAGTTGCAGCGCGGAGCCACCGGATTTCTAAGATCGCGGAACCCGGAGCAAGGATGAGGCGGAGTACAGATTGTGATTAGGCCCGTTTAGGCCCCCATGGGTGTTGGGATTTCGGCTGGAAAGCTCAAGGCGAGGTAGCCTCAAGTCCTTTGTGCTGTGGGCCTACAGGGAAGCGTGAGGAAAACCGGCAATGTTTATGATTGGTTTTGTTTTTTTTTAACACCTGGATCTTCCAAATCATGGAAATTTCACGTAAAATCCGGAGACTGCCAGTTTTTTGAGGGTCTCAGTGAAAAAACACAGAGTTTTCAAACTCCTGGTTTTTGAGGTAAAACTCCTAGAAATTGATTGTCGCTTCTGGAAATGGTTTGCACACCTGAAACCCCTAGAAATCGCAATTATTTGGTACTTGACGGAAGGAACTCTCCAATTCAGACATATTCTGAATCAAAATCATTCACCTGAATCAGAATCGTTCACCTAAATCAGAATTATTTATTCAGAATTCAAAATTATTCTGAATTCGGAATTATTGCCTTTGGGCGACAAATTGGCAAAACCGGAAAGCACCACACCTGAAACTCGGCGCAAAACACCCGCAAAAAGCCCGCAAACTCCCGCAAAAACGCGCAAACTCCCGCAAATCAAAAAAAGACGGAGTTTCCGGAGTGTGCGGTAGTAAAATCAGTGGAATACCCACTCCAGTGTAGAGTTGCATAATTGCTGGGATAGTGTACAGAGTTGCACAATTGCGCGCCCAAACAACGAAAAAAGACAACAAGACTTGAATCCAATTGTTTCCCCCAAGAACCACTCCTAGTTTTTGATGTTCACTCCTGCCTTTTGCAAGCCACTCCTGCTTTTTGATTCCTGCATTTGAAACACCTGAAACTCCTAGTTTTCAGAGGGTCTCCTGGAAATATCCCGGAGAACGGAAATACAGAGAAATAACCCGGAGACGGAGGACCCAGGCAACAAATGAGACACACCCCCATGTAAGGTGACCAGCCATGCACCATGGTAAATGAGAGGGCTTTCCTTGCTCCATTCACGCTTCAACGAGATTCCCATTTCGCTCTCTACAGCTTTGCGACTCCCACCCGCAGGTTCCCCGAAGTCCACCCAAGTGTGGGATTACGTCCGCGGCAAGTCAACCCCAGTGTGAAGAATGGATGGAAGCATAGTGAGGGAAGGCAGCTGTCAAGACGGAAGGTAGCAGGCAAAAACAAAGGTAGTTCCGCTACTTGAAGGCAGCAGGCAACTTGAAGGCAGCAGGCAAACATGGAAGGCTACGCGAATCTATTTCCTCGTTTGGTTTTGCAGCAGAAACCTTTATTTTGGCTTTGCAACTAAGATGTCCCCCCTCCCCACCCAACAGGACGTGCTTTTTCTCGGTCAAAGGGCCAAAGAACTGAGTGCCTTGAGGCTGCTCTTCCCGTACAGCTACGACCGCCCGAAGCGGATCTTCCAGCAGCACGTGGCGCGGTCCGAGTTCACTTGGGACTTGGCCCGCTCGCCAAGGCCTCAGCGAGAGGCGATGGAGCACGGCCTGTGGACGTGTTCGCTGGATTGGAACGGGGTGCAGACCTTGGACGACTTCGCGCCCTATGGCCTGCCGAAACTTGCCAAGCAAAGCCGAGCGAGGCACCCTACTTCTCAGAAGGCTCCCCACATCTTTGCCCAACGGTGATAGAAACCTTCTGTGGCTGCCTTTCTGGGAAGTGTGCCTGTGTTGCCCCCAACTGCGCTGATTAAACTAGACACAAGGGACACCCATATTCCTGGCAGCGGGCAGGTAACAAGATCTGCCGTTGTGGGTCATAGGCATGCCGCGCCGTTTCTTGCTCTTGGTTGAGGTGCTGCTTGCTGACAGCAGGCACACCCGCAGAGCATGTGATGATTGCACAGGGGCTGTGAGTAGAGGCCACGCAGTTTCAAAGATTTGGGAAACCACTTCAGCACAAAAATGCGCCGCATGACCCCAGGCACACATCAGGCCATAAGAGAAGAAAGCGGGTTTTCTGCTGCATGTCGTGCTGGTTTGCATGGGTTGCATTGTTTTCTCACTAGCCAAATTGGAGAGCGGGTTGCAAAAGCCGGGCTCCGCTGGAGGTCGGATCTTGATTTGGCCCCCCTTGGAGTGGTCTTTGAGACCCAGATGTTTGCTCGCCTTTGGAAATCCTGATGTGTCCTTCCTGTCCTTCGCTCAATTTGGGGTATGGAATAGGTGAATCGTGTTTGAACACATTCTGAATTCAAGATACTCATAGCTTGGTGGTTTTCATCCATCCGGTTCCTTAGCCTTTTAGCATCTTTTAGCCTTTGAGTGTTTAGCGGTCTCCATTTCACCCACTAGTGAGTCACGCTTAGCGGGGGATCTGAGGGCGATTGAAGCTCGGGCTTGTTCACGGGGCCGCAAAACGATCCCAGGCACGGAAGCCATCGCTATGACCAGACCCAGGGGGTCTATGGGAAGGCGCGGATCCAACTGAAACGCCTCGAAGTATTTGGGTTTCCCGTGTGCGAGCTAAGTTGCCTCCATGTGCCTAAATACTTGGGTGTACCGTGTACCCAACGCTGACATTTGGTCGGGACTGCGTCCAACCCCATGAAAAAGGTGAGGAGAGACCAGGCCCCCCCGATGGCCGGTAATTGGCGTCCCATGTGATGTATGATCATTGCACATGCAACGCGCGGAAGGAAAGGGGGGGCGACACGCTGGTGACACACTCATATCCCAAAAAAGTGACCGTTCAACGTACATGTGCCGGCAATTGGCCACCCCCCGACACGCCGTGACACGCCGTGACACGCCGTGACACGCCCCTCAAGACCCCTCCCAACCTCAAACTTGCCCTCCAAACCTCAAATTTGCTGCTCCCCCATTTCCCCTGCAACCCCATTCCAAAGGACCCTGAAAGGTCACTTGTATCAATGCACAAATTTGCACTAAGTACAGATGAGTGATACTTGATAGCAAATTGCTTTTGCAGCCACTTAGACATAAAGTGACATCGTTTTGCCCAAAACCGAGGTGCCGGCAATTGGCCAGCCATTGGGGGGTGCTGGGATAGGTTGACGCACGGGCGGCAAAACAGCACCCATGAAAACGCCGACCTGGGAACCATGGAGCAAGCAAGTTGCTGACTCGGCGAACACGAAACCACGACAAAAGGGTTGTTTTTGCTTGGCTTGTGATGGCAATGGCATTGGCAGGATTCCGTCTAAGCTTTGTCACGCGTGCAAACCGCGCACGCGATCCAAACTGGGGACTCACAAGTAGCTTGTTTCCTTGCTTGATGTCTGAGAGTGGAAGGCTCGTGAACGCCATTCAAAAGCACGCATCAACCTCGACACAACTGTCGAAGAAGAAGCTGTGACCGCCTGTGCCCCTAAAGACAGGGCACCCATGTTTAGCTTTGAACCACCTCTTCACCAACGTGGGCTGGTCATACACCTGGCACACATCCTTCGCATTCAGCAACTAACCGGCCTGAATGGAAGCTTCCATAACGCCCTCGCTAGGCTAGGCCATTTGAATTTTGGACCTAAGGCTCCTTGCCGCACAAATCGCGACTTGAGTGCCAATCAAGAGTCGAACAACCCCAAGCATCGAACATCCCGCTACAGCTCTGGGTTGGTGACCTGCCTCAATCAAACGCTGTCTTCTTTTCTCAAATGTTCATTGTCCCTTTTCGGGCCAAGCAGACAAGACGGGGGAGTTTGGTCTTCCCGCGTGTGGACCCGCGAGGATTGATCAATCGCTTCGCTGGTTGGGAGGAAAAAACCTGCGTGGCATGCGTGGCACCTGACAGACGAGACAGGGGCTTCAAAGATAACAGGTCCAATCACGTTACAGAATTATCATCAGCCCTCTCTGTTGCTTATAGCACGTTTAGTTCCCGCTGCCGCTGTTTCTCCTTCTTGGTGGGAGCTGCAGCCGCTTTGAGCTCACACTCTGCGCGCGGGACAGACCTCAGCTGGCTGCTCTGTTTGGCGTCAATGTTTGCCACCCTCTGGTCTGTTCAGGTTGGTTCCAGTGCATTTTCAGGAAGCTAAGTCTGTGATTCCTCTCCACTAGGACCGCTCTCTCTCTCTCTCTCTCTCTCTCTCTCTCTCTCTCTCTCTCTCTCTCTCTCTCTCTCTCTCCCTGAAGGGGGTGGCCGTTGGGTTCCCCAGGTCTTCAGCTTCTATTATGGAAGCAAGGCATGTGTCAGGCTATGTTCAAAGGAAACCACGGATGTCTTACAACATCTTACAACTACTTTTTGGAAAGTATATTTTCAAGGCTGACTCTTGGAAAGTATTGCGCAAAAGGCCACAGGGCCCAATCTCAGGACCATTTCCGGGTTTCCGTACCTCCAAAACCCGTGCCCGGAAACGCCCTTGATCTTCCACCCAATGGTTCTTTCAGCATTCCCGATGAGGCGGCATCTGGATTTTGTTTCAATCCCTTCTGAAGACCAACATGCCCCCCCCCCCCGCTCCCCCCCCCGGGCCCTGGAAGAGCGGAATAGCCAAAGGCCAGTCTGAGGTGCCAATGCCCTTCCCCACGCGATCCTTCCTCACCAAGAGCGCCTGGGCCCCGCGGGCCGCGCCGCCTCTGCCTGGGCGGCCCCTAGACGTGCTGCTCGGCATTGCTCGGCTCGGCTCAGAGGCCGAGTTGGTGACAGCGGGCTTTCATGCGCTGCACGTTTTGCATGAGGTTACTCTTGCTTTTTTGGTGGCGGCATCTTGGCAGTGTATCAAGGGATATGCATTCCTACCAGCAACGCTAATCCTTGAGCACCCTTCCTGGGTTGCACTCTGAGACATTTTTTATTTTTGCGGATTTTGCTTCACCCTTTTTGGCACTCAGCGCTGTTTGGCTGCGCCTCCGGAGGGACACAGAGGCCCACATGCACAACGCATAACGAATAAAGGAGCCAATCAAAGCAGATGATAGGCCCCAACTTTCTCAAATACTAGACAAGAATCTTTGAGAAAACTAATCTGCTCTCTTGGTGGCATGTTTGAGGGGAGGGGAGATAGCCGTTGCAGTATTGTGTGTTCCCATGAAGCGACATCAGTTTGTAGTGACCTTTGTGTAATGCTCAGCGCTCCCGTTGCGAAAGCAGGGCAAGGGCATAGAAATGTGAGTGTTGCATTCTTGTCGACGGACGCCTTTCCCCCTAGCAACGTAGAACACTGAGAAGCGCGTTGAACAAATCGACGCGTTTTTTTGCCCAAAAGGGCAGACACGTTTGAGCTCCGCGCGCGGATCTGGCTCTGGCTCAGTGCGCCGCAGCACCACCGTGGGCGGTCCCTGTGGGCTTGCGCTGCGGGTGGCTTGCAACATAGAGACCCTTTTAGCCTCCATAGGTCCACAAGTTGTTTGTCGAGTTTGCTGCCAAAAAACCCAGCTCACTGCGCGCCTTGTCGGAGCTGCAAGACTGGTGTCGGCCTGATGAGGGCTGGGCCACTGTGACGTACGACGTCCCTTGGCAGCATTGCGTCATTCGCATCGCAAGGGGCTGCATTCTTGTTTGTGGAGACGTTTGTCAGGTACGCGCCCCGGTGGCCGTGGAGGCGAGCGACACCTGGCAGCCTGCCGTGGACCCTCGCACTCAGGATTCAGGAGGTGCTCGGGAACGAGCAGCTGCATGCCATGATCGTCATGCTTCAGAAAGCAGCTGCTTGGCGAAGGGACATTTGATTCTCGCTGGGCCAAACTTTTTGAAGGGCCGCTGTTTGGGGGGCTCAAGATACACACGCACACACACACACGCGACTTGGGGCAACAAAATGGCTAGCTCGTCTTCGCTGGTTACGCAAATGAGACGCGCCGCCGCAGAAGAAGACGCGTGGCATCGGCCTCTTTCGGAACGTAGGGCGCAGTCACTAGCGCGCGGCCATACAATTGCGCCTGCTTTCCGAAAGGTTTCAGCTGCTCCAAAGCGCTTCTGTTCAGGGCGGACGCGTGCGGCAATAAGCTTCGTTCTTGACGCGTGGGGCAGCTCCTTTTTTTCTTGCTTTGCGCGGTTCATACGCAGGGCCTCCACTGGGCTTGGGCTGTTGGAGCTGGTTGTTTCAGGGTCTTTCGGAAGCAACGCTTGAGCGCCACGCCCCGCCGCTCCCGGGTAAGATCTGGTTGGACTTTCTAGTCCAGGCCTCGAAGTGCGGAGACCAAGGTGTTTTCGTCATCGCGCGTTAGGGAAGCTGTGCTAGAAGCAGTGGGATGAAGCACGTGCCAGCACGGCGCACTCACGTTGCGCTAAGCGCTGCCCTACACAGCAATCTCTAGGAGCACCTCACATCATAGGCTTGGGCCGGGGTTATATATCTCACAAGCAGACGTCGCAGAAAAGAGCGCTGTGCATTTGCTTCGTTGCACCGACAAGCGCGCCCCTGCGCTGCAAAACAGGAGCAAACCCTACAGCCCAGAAGATCCCCAGAGTTGGTCTCTATCAACAAACCACTTCTGCGGCCCCCCCGAGACCCGGCAGCAAAAATCAGCGCCACCCGTGTCCAACAAGTCTAGTCTAGCGCGAGGAACGCACTTGGGATGAACATCTACACAATGGCAGCAGCGGGCACCTTTTTTTGAGACGCAGCCTGTGCAAGCCAACTCTACAGACATGACAATGGCGCAGCTTAAAGGGATGGTTTCCAAAAGTTGGGTAAGCCCCTCGCAGCTTGGATGGATGCGCTATATATAAGCCCCCGTCAACAATAACGTTTACGCATTACCCAGCTAAGCTTGTCAGTCAGTAGCACGCCGGCAAGCTTCGATAGACCTGCCCCAAGGGAGAAACCTTGCGAGCAAAATGCCTTGCGGTAATACTTCACTTTGAAGCACTTAGCACACTTGGATGCCCTTACTTAGACATCCACTACTCACTAACATGTATTGTGGACATGTCTGAGCCTGGGGGATGCTCATAATTCGCTTGGTGTCAGCTGACGGAGCTTTTCGGAACCCGTAGGCTCATAGGTCAAAGAAGCTGGGCCACGGCCGCTTTACCTCCTTTTTGTAGCTGCCGAGACGCTGAGTGGTCTGGGAGCAGACATCGGTAAGGCAAAGGCTGTGTCGCTAACGGGGGGCGCGCAAGTGTCTTGACAGTTCGGAGTCGGCTTGCTGTCCAGGACTAAGTTTTGTTTGCGGAGTGGCCCTGGTGCGACGCAGTTGTGTTGACTGAGAGTCAAGGCTTCTGCGCATCGAAGCTCTTGCTTGTCATTGCAAGTTTCTGCATTCGTGTTGCTTTTGCTCCGGGCCAACGAAAGCTCAGCGCAGCATGGCGCACACATGGGGCCACGCGTATGCCGACGCGGCTGTCCATGCGTCGGAGGCATGGCTCTTGCAGCAAGGGCAAAGACTTTGCGCAGGAGCTTAAGGCCTGCCTCACAGACAGCCGTCGCGGGGCCTATGGCACGGATGCCTGCCGTTTGCTACGGATTGCTCGGGCATGGATGCCGCTGTCTGGGCGTTGGAGGCGATGTCAGTCAGCTTCATTCAACACAGGGGGTCTGATATTGGCTGCGGAATCAGTTCCAGTTGTCTGTTTTCGGTTGTTTGTCGGACTGACACTGGTACTGAAAGTAAAGAGCAGAGAAGCAAAGCACCAGCGACTGATGGACTCCATGGCGTCGCCAATTCGGGCTTTGGTAGAACAATGTGGCGAGGGCTTGTGATGCCTGTTTTGTCTTGTGACACAGCACGCGATGCATCTAAGGACGCATGGCGCGCCTTGATGGCGATGTTTGCCGCCGTGACCTAGATGCTCTGCCTCAGCTTTAGCGCGGCGGCTATGCAGCCGGCTTCCCATGTCAGTCGTTTTCGCCCGCTGAGTCTTGCCTGAGACGCAGCTGGTGAAATTCACAGGCGGGTCCCTTTCTGATTTTTGCCTTTGTTGACGCACGAACTTTCCCATGTATCCGCCATGGACTGCGTTGATGTTGGTGTGTTTCCACTGCTCATACCATTGTTGAACCATCATTTCGCAGCTTAGCGCCAGGTCTGCTAGGCTTTTTCAGGAAACCAGCAGCCCAAGGGCAGCGGAGGGCTTTCCTTCGGCTGAGCTTTTCTTCAGTGAGTTTGGGTCAGGTGTCGGCTCATCGAGCAACAGCTACTGTATCGCTGCCGTGCTTGAGCCATTAGGCGTTCGTTTTTTTGTCGAAGGACGTGTTTGGGAGTCATGTTTTTCAACTGCAAGCACACGTTTGTGCACGAACGCATGGCTGGCTGCCCGCAGGTTCACACTTTCATTTTTGCTTATCACTGGTAGCGTTGGATCTATAGAGCGCGGGCGACGTGCACGGGTGGTGTCAGCAATGCACACGAGGTCAGAATAGGTGTGGCCCTAGCCATGTGTATTCCAAAGTATGCCGTGTTGGACACAATCGATGCAAAGCTGCCACAGTGGGCCGTTCTCGAGAACGTGGTGGGATGTGTGTCCTGGGTCAACGAAATCAAAGGGCTGATGAAAGGAAGTTGCGAGGGCAGTACCACCTTGTAGCGGTGCCTCGGTCGCATGTTGCATTTGTTCATGCCATTTTGTTGGACAGGGTACGACGACACCAACTGTAACTGGAAAAACCGCAAGCTTCCAATCTATGTTGGAGAGCTCGCATTTTCTGTGCTTGGCAAGGCCGCGCGGTTTTGGGCCTTTGCTCCTGAGGTGCAGTTCTGTTCTTCAGATTTTCTTGAGCCTGTTCGACGTCCACGCGTTTGGTTTCTTTTACTTGCTGCGGGGTGCGCTGTGGCGGAGGACGCAGAAGGCATGGCGGGGATGGCATCTGCAATCTTCTCTAGCGTGCTCGCTGCAGCAGCACATTCATGACTGCGTGCAAGACAGCCAGTTCGGGCGGACGCCCAACGCACGAGAGAAAGAAGTCTTGAAGGCGCAGGCAGGCCTTGTAGCTGCCCATCTGAAAAAGAAGACTCTCACAGTGGATGTTTCGCAAAGCAAGGAGTGGGCAAGGTCTGGCGTCGATATGTTTCCAACGTGGGCTAGGTCGAGCCGCATGTGCATGGTGAGGCCTGAGCGTTGACCAGGCAAAGGTCTAGTGCTTGGCTGCGTCTTTAGGCTTGATGTACCGGGATGGCCTGCTGCCAGTCGCACGCAGCTTTGCCAGCCTGAGGTTCTGCACGCCTTTCCGCCAACCCTGCAACTGCCGACTTCTTGCAGAGAGTCGACGCTTCGTCGCCTTGTTGGCAACACGCAGCACGTCAAGTGTGCGGCGGTGGCTCTGTGTATGGCAATGAGAAAGACAGGGGCAGGTGAGCGCCAGTCGCCTGGCACAAAGGCAGCGGCGCACATGTTTCTCTTGCTGAAAGGCCTGGATTCAACTACACTTGTTGTCCGAACACAAGACCGATTCTCTAGACTAAGAAGTAACGTCTGCCACGGTGATTGCAGAGCAGGGCGCGCCAATCGTTCGAGAGCGAACGGCGTCAGAGATCAGCAGCAAGAACAACAACACCAGCAGCAACAGCGGCAACAACAACGACGACAACGACAGCAGCAATAACCACGACAGCAAGAACAACAGCAACAGCTACAGCAACAGCCACGGCAACAGCAACAACCAACCAACCAACCAACCAAGCAAGCAACCAACCAACCAACCAACCAACCAACCAACCA